TTAGGTGCATATATATTAATAAATGTTATGTCTTCTTGGTGGAATGTCCCATTATCATTATATAATGTCCATCTTTGTCTCCTGTTATCTTTTTGGCTTGAAGTCTATTTTTCCTGATAAAAGTATAGCTACACCCACTTTCTTTTAGTTGCCATTTGCTTGGAATATCATCTTCCATCCCTTTACTCTGAGCCTATGTTTGTCTTTAGAGCTGAGATGAGTCTCCTGGAGGCAGCATCTTGTTGGGTCGTGTTTTTTAATTCATCCAGCCACACTGTGTCTTTTGATTGGCGAATTTAATCCATTTAAATTTAGGGTGATTATTGACATATGAGGGCTTAATGCTGCCATTTTGTCTTTTGTTTCCTGGTTGTTCTGTATCTTCATTTTTTCTTTTTCCCTGTGTTTCTGTCTGCCATTTCAGTTTGGTGGTTTTCTGTGATGTGTTTCTTAGTTTCTGCTTTTTTTTATGTTTTGTGACTCTGCTCTGAGTTTTTGTTTTGTGGTTACCATGAGGTTTGTATAATAGATATCATAGATGAGATAGTCCTTTTTCTGCTGATAGCATCTTATCTCCATTTGGCTATGCAGGTCCCATCCTTTTCCTCCTCCTCTTCTTTGTTTTTGTTGTCACAAATTATCCCTTTTTGTATTGTGAGTTTGTTACCAAATTGAAGTGGTTACAGTTATTTTCAATACTTCCTTTCCCTTTAGCCTTTATTTTATAATTAAGTGTTTATTAACCTATTCTGATATAGAGTTGCAATTTTCTCATTTTGTCTGTCTATTTATCACCTTACTCAAAGCTTTGTATACTTTTGCCTTTTTGTTTCATGAAGGAGGGTTCCTATCACTATTTCATGTAAGCCATGTCTACTGGCAATAAACTCCTTCAGCTTTTGTGTGTCTGGGAAAGCCTTTATTTCTCCTTAATATCTCAAGAATAACTTTGCTGGATAGATTATTCTTGCTTGACAGTTTTTATATTTTAATATTTTGAATATATCACTCCATTCTCTCCTAGCCTGTAGAGTTTCTGCTGAGAAATCCACTGATAGCTTAATGGGGGGGTTCCTTTGTAAGTTATTTTCTTCTCTCTGGCCATCCTTAATATTCTTTCTTTGTCATTGACTTTTGACAGTCTTAATATAATATGCCTTGGAGAAGATCTTTTTGCACTGAGATAATTAGGTATTCTATTAGCTTCAAGTACTTGTATATCTAGTTTTTTTCCCCAGATTTTGGAAGGTCTCAGCTATTATTCCTTAAATAAACTTTCTGCTCCTTTCTCCTTCTCTTCTCCTTCTGAGATACCCATTATCCTTATGTTGTTTTTTTCCAATTGAGTGTGATATTTCTCCTAGAATTTCTCCATTTTAAAAAAAAATCTTAGTTCTCTCTCTCCTTCCACCTAAATCATTTCTAGATTTCTATCTTTGAGCTTGCTAATTCTCTCTTCCATATGGTCTGCTCTATTTCCAATGCTTTCTATTTATTCTTCATCTCATTTATTGAGTTCTTCAGCTCCAGAATTTCTGGGTTTTTTTTGTTTTTGTTTTTGCTTTTTTAGCATTTCAATCTTTCTGGCGAAGCACTCATTTTGCTCATTAATTTTATTCTTGAGCTCATTGGACTGTCTTTCTGAGTTTTCCTGTAACTTGTTGAGTTTCTTCATGACAACTAGTTGAAATTCTCTGTCAGTTAGATCAGAATTTTCCATGACTTCGAGTTTGTTTTCTGGAGAGTTGTCATGTTCTTTTTGTGCTACCATGTTACTATAGTTCTTAATGGTGCTTGATGAGTTGTTCCTTTGCTGGTGCATTTGTGGTTGGAAACATTTTTCTTGTTTGTGTAAGGCTTTGGTTACTTTGATTCTCAGCTGCTTCTGGTTGTATCTGCAAGTCTGCACTTTCCACATTCCACTGCCTCTGCCAGATGCATCATCAGTGCCCTCCTTGCACTGCTTGTGCCTCTGAGGTTGCTGGTGCCTTGCTGCTTACGATGTCACTGTAGTTGTGGGTGTCACCACCAGATTCACTGGGCTGTGAGCACCTTTGCTGTTTCCGGGGTTGCCTGGGTTGTGTATTCCCCCACTATAGCAGTGAGAGGGGGACAGTGGAGTGGGGGCTGGGGTCATGTGCACCTCTGGCACATCCTGGTTTGTTGGGTCTGCAGGCACTCCTGCCAGGTAGGAAGGCCAAAGTTGCAGGCACCTTTGCAACTGGGAGAAGCAGGTTCATGGGATCCACTGTTGCTGTTACCTGGCTCTCCATGGGCTCGGGTGCTGTTGTCTTGTGTGCCGCTTATGCTGCTGCTCCTGGGTTATCTGGTGGTGTTGGCAATGCTGCTGCCAGGAGCACAAGTTCATGGGTGCTGTTGACACTGCCAGGTGTGCTGGGGTTGTGAGCAACGCCACCACCACCAGAAGGGTAGGGATACCTGGGTCATGAGTGCCACTGGGGCTCCTAAAGCCTCCAGTCTCCAGTGCCTGTGTGGTTCCTGAAATCTCAGGTCATGGGCACCTCCATTGTTGCTGGGGACCCGGGGTCTTATATGCAGCCTATGCTGCTGGCAGGCCAGTGTTGGGGGTGCCACCACCCGGGGCTGGGTTGTGGGCACTGTTGCAGCTCCTGAAACCTCAGGTTGTGGGCACCACCCACCACTGGTTAGGGAGGGGAAGGAGCTGAGCCATGAGTGCTGCTGCGGCTCCTGCAGCCTCTGGTCTTCAGTGTCAGTGTGATTCCTGGAATCTCGGGTCATGGCACTGCTGCTGCTGCCGGGAATATCCTGGTCTTGGATGCAGCCCCCACTGCTGGAAGGGCTGATGTTGGAGGCAACACCACGGGATGCAGAGGATGAGGCTGAGTTGTGGGCATTGCTGAATTTCCTGAAGCCTCAAGTTGCAGGCATCATATGCCACTGCTGGGGGAGGGGGAAGGGCTGAGCTATGAGTGCTGCTGTGGCTCCTGCAACCTCTGATCTCTGGTGCTGCTGCACTTTTTGGAACCTTAGGTCACGGGTGCTGCCACCACTGTTGGGGGTATTCGGGTCTTAGATGCAGCCCCTGCTGCTGGAAGGGCTGGTGTCAGAGGCACTGCTGCCAAGGGAGGGGGAGGGAGCTAGGTCACAGTTATCTTCACGGTTCCTGGAGCCCCTGGTCACAGGTGCATGGTGATTTCTGGCACCACTGGGAGCTGGGCTGCCTGGATTCCTGGGGCCTCCATTCGTGGGTGTTACCTCAGTTCCAGGGCCTCCAGTCACAGGCATGGCCCACAGATCCTGGAACCTCCAGTCTCGGGATCTGCTGCCACTGCTCCCCTGGTTCCACTGCTTCCAGGAGGTCCAGTCCACCCACCTTCAGATGTATAGATGTATGGCTCTCTCAGGTCTTCTGGTATGCTGTGCAGAGTCTTTTGTTGGTCTATGGCTGTCCTACTGGTTGTAACTTAGAGGGGAGACAAAGGGAACAACTCACTCCCCCATGATGCTGACATTGTGATTTCAGTATGAGTTCTTGAATAAGGCCAGAGGCAGTTTAGACTTTTACATAATTATATGCAATAAGAATAATTCAATATATCATAGGATATATCATGGCAAAATTGATAGCTTGCTTATTTAGCCTGTTTATCTGTATCCATGGAGACAACATATCTTCATTAAAACATGCAACTATACTTTTGCTATTGGCTGATTGCTAATTCTATTAAGTGTATGCAATCAACAGAATTGTGATCTTTAAACTGTAATCCTGATTCTTTGGATCTGGGTAATTATTTCAGATGGCTCTGACTCATTTCTCCATTTTCTCTTTTTCTGGCTCGGTATGTACTTTATTTCTAGTAAAGCGATAGAGAGCCAAACAAAAGGAATGATAAAATAAGCAGCATTTTTGAAGTATTGAAGGAAATAAGTTTAAAATTCTACACATTGTTTACATATGACTATGTGCAGTGGGCCAGCTGCATCATTCTTTACCAGATGTTCACATGAATGCATACTATAAACAGTTCCGTTAACCAGTAAGTTCGTTTGGACCTGGATCTTGATGAAACTCCAGAATCTCTTGCTATTCCAGAACACCCATTAAGCATTCCTTAGGAAGGTGACATAATATTCAACATAAATTAAGTGTATGTTTACTGTATATATAAAATTTCTGGAAAGTAATGGTTATTTGTTACCTACTTGAAAAACAATAACACTATAACAGATAAGATTTCAAGAATGACTGAGCGTCTTTGCAGTTTTTCATGAAGTTACAATATATGTAAATTCTATACTATGTGAATTCTTGAGTCACACTGCTTAGGTTTGTTTTCTCTTCTATCTCTTACTGTCCGTCTGCCTGACTTTCTTAACCCGTAAAATGGGCTTTATAGTAATTTTTATCTCAGAGCATTGTTGTAACGATTAATAACATATTCCATAGTACATATTAAGTACAAAAATATTTATATTAGTATTACTGTTAACGATTGATAAATACTAAGCAATAACCAATAGATATTTTTCTATATACCTCCTGCCATAAAAGCAATTTAAAATTGCTCAAGTGAATGTGTTTTCTGGCCAGGGTAGTATTTAAAAGGGGATTCTTTAAATAATATGCTGTGTGAGGGTAAAGGACATAAACTTTAAATATACACACATTCTGGCGTAGATTATGAACTATTCAATGGCAAAGGAAAAATACTCGAATATGTTTTATATGTTATTAAGTACTCAGAATTATGGTCTATGTTTTGAGAAATCAATCATTGTATTTTATAGCTTTTCTTTAATATACTTGAAAACCTAAGTTTCATTTAAAAGCTTAGATTTAAAATGCACCCTTGATTTAGAATCAGATAAACTGCTACTCTGTTTTCTTTAAAATAAAGGTGCGAAATTTTAGTTTCAACTTTATTTTTTGAATACAAATGTTTGGTGAATATCAATGTTTCACATAAAAAACTACATCATAAAGTTACATAAAATGAAAGAATTTCCTTTCTTGCCTTTGATCCAGAAAAAATCCAATGGAAGTCAAGGTAAGGATAATGAAGCAAACCCTCAGAAGGAGAGTGACCTGCGACAGTGCCTGTAAGACAAACACAGAGACCAAGGGATCCTTTAGCAGAGTTATCAGAAGAAACGTCAGAATTTAAAGCTGACAATTAAAACAGCCCCCCATTTTATTTTATATTACATCATTTGTCACGGGCATTTTTTGAAAAGGTTGAATATGTAGAGGATACTTTGGTTTTCCTAATGTCACTTCGTTAGCTTGTTGGACACTTGGAGAATGAATGAGACAATTCCCCAATGATATTTTGCTTAAGATTCTTTCTAAAAATTCTCCTTTAAAGTTCTGACTTTCATACTTCTTTGAAAAACCCATGCTCCAAGTATGGAGAAATCACTTACATTTTTATGAATAAATAGCACATTCCAATTGCTATTTTTAATATCACCAATTCTTTGTGGTTTCAAACCCAAAGCTGTCTTTAACACAGAAAATATTAAAGGAGAATGTGTTTATGAGTGTGAACACATATAGGAAAGAGATTGCACACACACATATACACACACACACTCATATTTGATGAAATCTGTATGTTCACAGGTACATGTCAAAGATTATCTTTTGAATTTTTGTAACAAAAACAACATATTTTTCTGTCACAATTATAAATTAGTTATACATTTTGTTTACATGTCAAAATTTAATAATAATGTGCATTGAGCATCTACTATTTTATAGCTTCTATGCTATGTGTTTCATACACTTTAATTCTTTTTATAGTCCCAAGAACCTTGCAGAGCAGGTATCATTAAATCTGATTCATATGTGAAAAAACAAACAAACTGAAAATCAAAAGATTAAGTAACTTTTCCATCATCACACAGAAATAAATGATGTCTCTGAAATTCAAAACAGACCTTCCTGACCCTAAAGTGTGACAACAGTAGAAAACATATGAGCAACAAACTTAGAGGAGGCAGGGGCAGAGATCTAAGTTGAGATTATGTAGCTAATGTTTAGGCCAAATGAATACTGCTTTAGATCGAAAGTGGATCAATAAAAGCAAGGGGTTGGATACACAGCCCCTGAATGCTTTCCTTACTTAGTGATGGTGTTTACACTTCACCTTTATGAGAACACCGGAGGTGTGATACAACAGGGTTGGCTAAAATAGCGATCAAAACATTATGCAAGCGCTCTCTTTCTCTTTTCTGAAATAACTAGAGGTAATTTCAACTCATTGTTAACTAGTATACATACCAACTAAATTGCATCTGTCTAAAGTTGTAAACAATAAGCAAAACCACCATTTGCAATTGCTGCTCACATCCAATACCCCAGCTCCATACCATCCTGTCAATCAGTCCTGTCTGTCATGGCCAACTCCTAACATCTCACTGTGCTATATGCTTAAGATGGCACCTGGAATTCCCAAGGGATTTTTTTTTTGCTGAGGAAGAGTTACCCCAAGCTAACATCTGTTGCCAATCTTCTTCTATTTTGTATGTGAGCTGCCGTTGGCCACTGACAGACGAGTGGTGTAGGTCTGCACCTGGGAATCAAATCCGGGTCGCTGAAGTGGAGTGTGCTGAACTTAACCACTAGGCCACTGGGCCTGGCCTGCCAAGGGATTTTAAACCCTCCCAAGCAAATTTTAGTAGAAGAGTATTGCTGAGTGGTCAAAAATTTGCATTAAAAATGTCAGAATATTCACAAATATGGGGACAGCGTTAGGTATCAAATATAGGATGGGGAGCTCAGTGGATGCTAGAATGTTTCAGTGGAGAGCAGTTGAGTGCTATTTGGGTATGTGGAATTTAGTAAAGGCTGCTTTCAGACAGTGAAGCAAAAAATATCAGAAAAATATTTTCTTGGTGGTAGAAGTAACTGTGTGCTTGAGTAGATTAATGTTTGCTTAAGGGAAACATTTTGTCTTTAAAGAAAAATGCTTCTTTCACATTTATTGCTTCATTTTGATTTTTTAGGGAAAAATTCACATGGAAGGGAGAGATGATTTGTGCTCAAAAACTAGAGCATAATTTTAAATGCTCTAGAAGAATATAGGGTTTGGAATTATGCAAACTTCTCAGCCACATAACCATGGGCAATTTATTCAGCATTTCAAAGGTTCTATAATGTGTTTGGTACATTTGAAATAAAATATGAGTTTTGCAAGGACTATAATAAAGTACTCAGAAGAGTGCTTGGCACAAAGTAAAAAGTCAATTAGTGGTCATGATGAATATAATTGTTATTATGCTCAGGCTATACTAATCTTCTAAGTGGCACTTGGGTTAATCTTAATTACAGTAAGACAAAGAAGCACTAATAAAAGGTCCATTAGCTCTTCCAAATATCACAGGAAATTCAGAGATAGGACAAAATATACTTTTTGTTTTGGTTAGGGAATTTATGATCCCTGGACGAAAAAAAAAAGAACTCTTTCTGCAAATTGCTTCCTGGCTACTGGAGTCGGAATTAAAACCAACTTAATACAGCCATCCAGCTTCCTAGTCAGTGCCTCTACTTGGCTGATAGGCATCTGAAACTTAGCATGTCTAAAACTCTGTCTTTGATTTCCACCTCCACATCACACATTCCCCAGTTTTCTTCAGCTTAGAATGGCACCTTCAGTTTTTCAATTGCTCAAGCCAAAGACTTATGACTCATCCTTGACTCGTTCACCGTTTACTTCTAATACATCAGAGATAAATGTCAGCATTATATTTGAAATATATCCAGAATAAAGGTATTTGTTACATACAGCATCACTAATACCCTGTTCCACCCCAACATGATGTCTACCACAATTGAAATACCCTCTTAACTGGTCTGTCCACTTCTAAAATTACATGTCCGCCTATCATGGCCTTCCACCCCTGGTATGCAGCCACAACTCTGGCTACTTTCAAAGCGTAAGTCATCTCATATCACTTTTATGTTCTAAATCCTCCAGGAGCTTCAAATCTCACCTAGAATAAAGCTCAAAGTCCTTACTCTGGCCTATGCATGACATACCCCCATTATCATATTACCCCCTAGTAATCTCTGTGTTTTTCATTCGTAAGCCATATCAGAAAATTTGCTCTTCGTTGAACATAACAAGCATCCTTCCCACTCAAGCCTGTTTCACCTACTGTTCCTTCTACTTGGAATGACTTCCCCCATTGATCCTTGTGGTTCATTCCTTCATCTCATTCAGGTAGCTATTCAAATGCACGTCCTTGTCTGTCATATATAAAAGAGTGCTTCTCCATAACTCTCTATAACCATATTTTGTTGTATCGTTGTCCATACAGCTTATCACTTCCATACACTTACACATTTGTTTATTTGTGCATTCTCTAGCTGTTTGTTGTATGTGTCCTCCCACTAGAATGTAAGCTCCATGAGAGGTTTTGTCTCTTCATTCACTGTTATAACTCAAGTGCCTAGAACATTGCCTGACACGTAGTCAGTATTCAATATATGTTTGTTGACTGACTGGCCATATCAATGACTATTTTACATTTGTGTTTTAATGTTAATACCTTTAATATTAATAATTTAAATTAAATGATTAATTGGCTGAAACAATAATTTAATATTAAAACATCAAATATTTAATTTAATATCAATATTAATAAAATAATGATAAAATATTAGTATTTTAGTTCATTACAATCAAAAATAAATCCTATTAAATTATTCAATTTAATATTTAATAATTTATTATTAATAATATATTAAGTGTTTCAAAATCTTAAATATGTAAAATATTAAATCCTTTAATATTCATATATTTAATGAATTCTTAAAGAACAGAATTCAATTCTTAAAGAACGGAATTGTCCTAAAAGTGTTTGAATTTAAAGGAAGCTAAGAGTACTATAAGAAGGATTTCAATATCGAACACGTGCTTCCTTTAAAGAGTCCATTTTTCTATGGAACGTCTAAGTTTCTCCATACAGCATCCTTTAATAGGCTAATTAAGGCATACAATCAATTGATCATCTCTAATTTCTACACGTTCATTCCATGAATATTTGTTGAGCGTGTGCTAGGCACTATGGTAAATATGAGTTTAACAGAGGGAGCAAGAAAGGCAAAATCCTTGCCCCGAAATCACGCTACTTTAATCCCTGCTGAGATGACCATAGGCCAACTACACTAGAGCCGAAAGAAAAAAAATAGAATAGAATATAAGCTTTGACCATTATAAACACTTAGTCTCCTGTGTTTTAAACAATATGTGAAATGACATAGAGCTTGTTAGTTTTTCATAATAAGTAAGATTTTATTTTCCATTGGACTTACTCCCATTTCATACCATCCACTACTGGTATATCTTTCATGTATAATATTGCTGTCTTAAAGTGGTAAAATGGAATTATTCTAAATTAACCATAAAATGCATTATAAGTTTTTGTCAAAAAAAAAAAACCCACACAGGGCCGGCCCCATGTCTTAGTGGTTGAGTGTGCGCCCTCCGCTACTGGTGGCCCGGGGTTTGGATCCCGGGCGTGCACCAACGCACCATTTCTCTGGCCATGTTGAGGCCGTGTCCCACATACAGCAACTAGAAGGATGTGCAGCTATAACATACAACTATCTACTGGGGCTTTGGGGAAAAAAAGGAGGAGGATTGGCAATGGATGTTAGCTCAGAGCCGGTCTTCCTCAGCAAAAAGAGGAGGATTAGCATGGATGTTAGCTCAGCGCTGATCTTCCTCACAAAAAAAAAAAAAAAAAAAAGCTAGGATAATGAAGAAGGCCAGACAAGGATTACAGCTTGCAAAGCTAGCGCTCACAGGCTGCCTACAGCACATGTTCCCATCAGACAGACTACACAAACTCATGATTCACTGGGCATTGGGTAGAGAACGCCAAAGGATCTTGCCACAGCGTTGGGTAATAATTAGTCCAAGACTGAGCAACTTCAGCAATGACAGGTCCTACAATAGTTGCTGGAAGACACTTATGTTGATATATTTTCTTTCTTGGATGTTCAGTAGAACTATTTTGAGAGCCAATGCAGCCACTCTGAATAATCAGTATTTGCCTCAAGATCTCACTGAAATCAGTACACCAACTTTC